TGGGCAGCTGTGAGGGGTGTGGGCGGGAGGTGGGCAGCTGTGAGGGGTGGGGGCGGGAGGTGGGGGCGGGAGGTGGGCAGCTGTGAGGGGTGGGTGGGGGCAGGAGGTGGGCAGCCATGAGGGGTGGGTGGGGGCGGGAGGTGGGCAGCTGTGAGGGGTGGGGGCAGGAGGTGGGCAGCTGTGAGGGGTGTGGGCGGGAGGTGGGCAGCTGTGAGGGGTGGGGGCGGGAGGTGGGCAGCTGTGAGGGGTGGGTGGGGGCAGGAGGTGGGCAGCCGTGAGGGGTGGGGGCGGGAGGTGGGGGCGGGAGGTGGGCAGCTGTGAGGGGTGGGGGCGGGAGGTGGGGGCGGGAGGTGGGCAGCTGTGAGGGGTGGGGGCGGGAGGTGGGCAGCTGTGAGGGGTGGGGGCGGGAGGTGGGGGCGGGAGGTGGGCAGCTGTGAGGGGTGGGGGCGGGAGGTGGGCAGCTGTGAGGGGTGGGGGCGGGAGGTGGGCAGCTGTGAGGGGTGGGGGCGGGAGGTGGGCAGCTGTGAGGGGTGGGGGCAGGAGGTGGGCAGCTGTGAGGGGTGGGGGCGAGAGGTGGGCAGCTGTGAGGGGTGGGGGCGGGAGGTGGGCAGCCGTGAGGGGTGGGTGGGGGTGGGAGGTGGGCAGCTTTGAGGGGTGGGGGCAGGAGGTGAGCAGCCGTGAGGGGTGGGTGGGGGCGGGAGGTGGGGCCGGAGGTGGGCAGCTGTGGGGGTGAGTGGGGGCGGGAGGTGGGCAGCTGTGAGGGGTGGGTGGGGGCGGGAGGTGGGGTGGGAGGTGGGCAGCTGTGGGGGTGAGTGGGGGCGGGAGGTGAGCAGCCGTGAGGGGTGGGTGAGGGCGGGAGGTGGGGCCGGAGGTGGGCAGCCGTGAGGGGTGGGGGCGGGAGGTGGGCAGCTGTGAGGGGTGGGGGCGGGAGGTGGGCAGCCGTGAGGGGTGGGTGGGGGTGGGAGGTGGGCAGCTTTGAGGGGTGGGGGCAGGAGGTGGGCAGCCGTGAGGGGTGGGTGGGGGCGGGAGGTGGGGGCGGGAGGTGGGCAGCTGTGGGGGTGAGTGGGGGCGGGAGGTGGGCAGCTGTGAGGGGTGGGGGCGGGAGGTGGGGCGGGAGGTGGGCAGCTGTGAGGGGTGGGGGCGGGAGGTGGGGCGGGAGGTGGGCAGCTGTGAGGGGTGGGGGCGGAAGGTGGGCAGCTGTGAGGGGTGGGAGCAGGAGGTGGGCAGCTGTGAGGGGTGGGGGCGGGAGGTGGGGCGGGAGGTGGGCAGCTGTGAGGGGTGGGGGCGGGAGGTGGGGGTGGGAGGTGGGCAGCTGTGAGGGGTAGGTGGGGGCAGGAGGTGGGCAGCCATGAGGGGTGGGTGGGGGCGGGAGGTGGGCAGCTGTGAGGGGTGGGGGCGGGAGGTGGGCAGCCGTGAGGGGTGGGGGCGGGAGGTGGGCAGCCGTGAGGGGTGGGGGTGGGAGGTGGGCAGCTGTTAGGGGTGGGGGCGGGAGGTGGGCAGCCGTGAGGGGTGGATGGGGGTGGGAGGTGGGCAGCTTTGAGGGGTGGGGGCAGGAGGTGGGCAGCCGTGAGGGGTGGGTGGGGGCGGGAGGTGGGCAGCTGTGAGGGGTGGGGGCGGGAGGTGGGGCGGGAGGTGGGCAGCTGTGAGGGGTTGGGGTGGGAGGTGGGCAGCTGTGGGGGTGAGTGGGGGTGGGAGGTGGGCAGCTGTGAGGGGTGGGTGGGGGCGGGAGGTGGGCAGCTGTGGGGGTGAGTGGGGGCGGGAGGTGGGCAGCTGTGAGGGGTGGGTGGGGGTGGGAGGTGGGCAGCTTTGAGGGGTGGAGGCAGGAGGTGGGCAGCCGTGAGGGGTGGGTGGGGGCGGGAGGTGGGGCGGGAGGTGGGCAGCTGTGAGGGGTGGGTGGGGGCGGGAGGTGGGCAGCTGTGGGGGTGAGTGGGGGCGGGAGGTGGGCAGCTGTGAGGGGTGGGGGCGGGAGGTGGGGCAGGAGGTGGGCAGCTGTGAGGGGTGGGGGCGGGAGGTGGGGCGGGAGGTGGGCAGCTGTGAGGGGTGGGGGCGGGAGGTGGGGTGGGAGGTGGGCAGCCGTGAGGGGTGGGTGGGGGTGGGAGGTGGGCAGCTTTGAGGGGTGGGGCGGGAGGTGGGCAGCCGTGAGGGGTGGGGGCGGGAGGTGGGCAGCCGTGAGGGGTGGGGGCGGGAGGTGGGCAGCTGTGAGGGGTGGGTGGGGGTGGGAGGTGGGCAGCTTTGAGGGGTGGGGGCAGGAGGTGGGCAGCCGTGAGGGGTGGGTGGGGGCGGGAGGTGGGCAGCTGTGAGGGGTGAGTGGGGGCGGGAGGTGGGCAGCTGTGAGGGGTGGGTGGGGGCGGGAGGTGGGCAGCTGTGGGGGTGAGTGGGGGCGGGAGGTGGGCAGCTGTGAGGGGTGGGGGTGGGAGGTGGGCAGCTGTGGGGGTGAGTGGGGGCGGGAGGTGGGCAGCTGTGAGGGGTGGGGGCGGGAGGTGGGGTGGGAGGTGGTTAGCTGTGAGGGGTGGGGGCGGGAGGTGGGGTGGGAGGTGGTTAGCTGTGAGGGGTGGGGGTGGGAGGTGGGCAGCTGTGGGGGTGAGTGGGGGCGGGAGGTGGGCAGCTGTGAGGGGTGAGTGGGGGCGGGAGGTGGGCAGCTGTGAGGGGTGGGTGGGGGCGGGAGGTGGGCAGCTGTGGGGGTGAGTGGGGGCGGGAGGTGGGCAGCTGTGAGGGGTGGGGGTGGGAGGTGGGCAGCTGTGGGGGTGAGTGGGGGCGGGAGGTGGGCAGCTGTGAGGGGTGGGGGCGGGAGGTGGGGTGGGAGGTGGTTAGCTGTGAGGGGTGGGGGCGGGAGGTGGGGTGGGAGGTGGGCAGCTGTGAGGGGTGGGGGCAGGAGGTGGGGTGGGAGGTGGGCAGCTGTGAGGGGTGAGTGGGGGTGGGAGGTGGGCAGCTGTGAGGGATGGGGGCTGGAGGTGAGGTGTTCTCCTGGCCATGTCACTCAGCTAGCAGTGGATTCCAAGCAGAACACTAAGATGCAGAGGATGCACCATGTTAATTTTGAATAAGAACTAGAGCAGGCAAGCTAAGGCTGGGCACGTGGGAGGCTAAGAGGCAGGAGGACCGGCAGGAGGAGGGTGAGTGGGAGGTGGGGCAGGAGGTGAGCAGGAGGAGGATAATTTGGGCTACATAGTCAGACCCTGTCTCAGAAAAAGAGAAAAGAAGAAGTACACAAATCTGAAATATAAACAACTAAAAGAACAATAATAATCTTAATTGGGAGCTGGAGGCTCGTGGGATAATACTAGCTATGCAGAAGGCTGAGATCTGAAGATTGTGGTTTGAAGCCAACCAGGGCGGAAAAGTCCATGAGACTCACCAACTAACCAGCAAAAAAGTGGAGTTGTAACTCAAGAGGTAAAGCAAGCAAACCAGGTCCTGACTCCAGGTCTGGAGCCCTGTGTTCGTGCCTTAGTACCAGCACACACAAATAATAATAGAAAAAACAACATAAACCTTGATAGTAAACAACTCAAGAACATACATTTCACTCAAACAGCATCTCTTGCTGGGCATAGTGGTTCATGTCTGAAATCCCAGCACTCTGTGCACCATTAGGATAATAAGTTCAAGGCCATCCAGAGCTATACAGTAGCTGTCTCTCGTGATGATGATGATGATGATGATGATTATGGTAACAATAATAACAATAAAAGTAATGTCTCCTCCGTAGTGTCTACATCCCGTTCAGCACTGTGACGTTGGTAGCTTGTAGCTGGCTGGGTGGAGGCATCTGCTGGGCTGTAGAGTAACTGCCCCCTGACCCCCTGGGCAGCTGGCTAAACCCTGGACACCTCACCCCTGCCCCAAGGTGACAGGCTCTGTGTGCTTATTCGTGGACACTGGGCCACGCCCTCCGGGGTCTCACAGGTCTTAGAGGAAGAAGGTACCAGAACCCATTTGGTGAGGCCCTGTCCCAGTCTGTCCTAGTTCACCTGAAGCCTGGTGCTGATGCTTTTCTAGAAGTGGCGCGTGTTTAGCATGAAGCCAGTTCTTCATTGTGTGAAGCCTTTGAACCCAGCACGTGCTCCTAGCCCAGGTGTGAGCGTTGACGGTTGCCTGGAGACTGGGGAAGCGCTGGCGTGCACTGACTTCATCCTGCAAGCATTTACCGGGGCTGCCGCACAGCGCACATCCCGAGGCCCCCTCCCCGCAGTGCCCGGCCGGCACCACCCGCCAGAGGCCCTCTCGGTGCCGGATGGTTCCATACTTGGCCCTCGGCTGCAGCTGTCCTCGCAGAGCTGGGGGGGGGGGGGTGACAGCAGCACCAGCTCGGGTGGATGGGAGGTGGGGGAGGCCCCAGGCCTGGGTCTGGGGCTTTCAGCCTGCTGTGGAGCATGGAAGCTTCCTGAATGGGTGTGGCCCAGAGGAGGTCAGGCGTGGCGAGGGGACACATGGTGGCTGTGTTGGTCCCTGTCATTCCTAATGGTGGACCCCGGACTCCCTGGGACCCCAGCACCCTGGGTGGAGAGGTGAGCGTGGGCCGAGGGAGCTGGGCCTTGCTGGAGGACCCACCAGGACCCGGGTCCTCATGGGTCAGGGTGGGTTCTGAGCCAGGGAGACCGAGGCACACAGCGACCAGCATTCTGTCTCCGGCATCCTGGACAGGTTGGCGAGGTGGCGGATAGGATCAGCACCCGTGTGGGTGTCAGTTCGGAGGTGGTCTGGGTCTGGGGAGGTGGTTAGGGAGATGGAGGGGGCTCTGAGAGGTGAGAGCTGCCCCCTGGACAGAAAGTGGAGCCCTGCCCTAGACAGGCCTGCAGAGCATGCTGGGAGGTGGGGCTCAGGAGCCAGGAAATGCGGGGGAGGGGCTGGGGGGGAGGGCCCACCACAGCGGTTCTAGGACAGAGCCACCCTGGGGACTGAGTAGTGGCCCCAGCGTCCAGCAGGCCCACCTCCCCCCAGCACCGCCGGCTGTGTCTCCAGCGGCAGGGGTGTGGTCACGTGACCCTTCTCATCCCCAG